TTCATAAGAACCACCACTTCTCCTTTACATGCTCCAAAGTTCCCAAGGCACTAGATCAAAATCTTACACTGAAAGAATGGCCGGCTAAGTGTTAAATTAACTTAAAGAGCTTTTAAGTTAAATCAGAAAACTAATAACAGGATGTAAAACAATTTCACCTACAAAAAACACATGGCCTATAAACTCCTTCATTCTTAATGGAAAACCCATTAGTTAATCCTAACAATAAAGTGACAGGTTACACTACTCAGTTAATAAAATGGGAAGTAGTATCAGCTGCTACCTTAGACAAAATGTGGTAAAAATTAAAATGGTATTTCCAGCCTAACATTGCGGCAACTCTGTAAAGGGTAAAGATTTTTACAACTTGAATCACCACAAAATGAACAAGGGGTCTTATATACAGGAAGACAATGTAGAACTTTTATTTTTACCCTTATTAGTGAGAAGACAAATGATTTTGCAATCTCGTGGATTTCTCATTTAATTCATAAAATTAGAGGTAAAGAGATTACTGAATTCCTAAAGAGTAACATCTATTCATATTTTTAAAAATTAGCTCAATTTTGGAATAAAACTGGCCTACCAAAATAGAAGTTCAAAATTTATGAAAAAATAAGATGCCAGTGGTAAAAAAAAAGCACCATCTAAGATGTAGAAAACAATACTTAAGGAAAATTTAAATAAAAATACTAACAAATATGATAAAAACAGAAGGAAAGAACTTTATGTATTATATATATTATAAATATCTGAGAAAACACCAAGTTTGGATTCCATAAAGAAAAGCTAAGAGGGAGAAACAGCATATCCTTTTCTACCCATTATGTCTGTAGTGACTGGATAGAAAACAGATTTAAATCAAGAATTAAATGCATATGAAGAGGCAATGAAGCATGTATTTTCTGACATCTTTATCAAGTAGGTGACAGTTTCAAATTTTAACAAAAACTCAGATAATACTGAATACAATTTGGATAATGGTAACCACAATCTGTGCCTGATTTCATTTTCCATTCATTGTTATATAAGAATAGAAAGGATGAACATAATATCTGAATCCAGATCCAGTCTAGATTCCAGATTTGATGCAATGAACACCAATGACCGAAAACCAGAGGAATTGTGGAATGACATCAAGAACATCATCCAGAAGAAAGCAACAAGTCATTAAAAAGACAGGAAAGGAAGAAAAGACCAAAATGGATATCAGAAGAGACTCTGACACTTGCCCTTAAATGGAGAGTAGCTAAAGCAAATGGAATATATGACAAGATAAAAGAGCTGAACAGATTTCAAAGAGCAGCTCGAGAAGACAAAGCCGATTACTATAATGAAATACAAAGACCTGGAGTTAGAAAACCACACTTGGCATTTTTCAAGCTGAAAGAACTGAGGAAAATATTTAAGCCTCGATTTCCAATATTAAAAGATTATATGGGCAAAATATTGAATGATGCAGGAAGCATCAAAAGAAGATGGAAGGAATACACAGAGTCACTGTACCAAAAAGAACTGGTCGGTGTTCATCCATTTTAGGAGGTGGCATATGATCAAGAACCAAAGGTACTGAAGGAAGAAGTCAAAGCTGCACTGAAAGAAGTGGCAAAGAACAAGGCTCCAGGATTGATGGAATGAATGCCCACTGAGATGTTTCAACAAACAAATGCCCCGCTGGAAGCACTCACTCAGCTATGCCAGGAGATTTGGAAGACAGCTACCTGGCCAATTGGCTGGAAGAGATCCATATCAGTACCCATTCCAAAGAAAAGTGATCCCACAGAATGTGGAAATTATCAAACATCATTAATATCGCATGCAAGTAAAATCTTACTGAAGATAATTCAAAAACGGTTGCAGCAGTATACTGACAGAGAATTTCCAGAAATGCAAGCAGGATTCAGAAGAGGACATGGAACAAGGGATATCACTGCTGATGTCAGGTAGATCCCGGATGGAAACAAAGAATAACAGAAAGATGTTTACTTGTGTTTTATTGACTATGCAAAAAGTTAGATTGTGTAGATCATAACAAATTGTGGATAACAGTGAGAAGAATGGGAATTCCAGAACACTTAATTGTACTCATGAGGAACCTATGCATAGAGACTGTTTTGTTCAGACAGAACAAAGGGACACTGCATGGTTTAAAATCAAGAAAGGAGTGCATCAGGGTTGTATTCTTTCATCATACTTTTTGGGAGCTCTGGTGGTGTAGTACCAAAGGCATCTGACTGCTAACCAGAAAGCTGGTGGTTCAAACCCACCAGCTACTCCTCAGAAAGAAGGTTGGGCAATCTACTTCCATAGTGATATTGCCTCAGAAACCCAAGGAGGGGTCACTATGAGTTGGATCTGACTCGAGGCAGTGAGTTTGGTTTTAATTCAATCTGTATGCTGAGCAAATAATCCAAGAAGCTGGACTATACGAGAAGAACATGGCATCAGGATTGCAGGAAGAATTATTAACAACCTGTGAAATGCTGGTGACACAACTCTGCTTGCTAAAAGTGAGAATGACTTTAAGTACTTACTGATGAAGATTGAAGGATACAGTCTGCATTATATATTACACCTCAGTATAAAGAAAGCAAAAATCCTCACAACTGGACCAATAAGCAGCATCACAATAAATGGAGAAAAGACTGAAGTTGCCAAAGACTTCATATTACTTGGTTCTACAATCAACACCAATGGAAGCAGCAGTCAAGATATCAGATGATATACAGCACTGGGCAAATCTGCTGCAAAAAAACCTCTTTTAACTGCTGAATAGCAAAGATGTTTCCTTGAAGACTAAGGTGTGCCTGACACAAGCCATGGTATTTTCAATCTTCTCATATGCATGTGGGGAGCTTTGGTAGCATATTGCCTAAGGCACTTGACTGCTAACCAGAAGGCTGGCAGTTCAAACCCACCAACCACTCCTCGGAAGGAAGGTTGGGCAATCTAGTTTCCATAGTGATACTGCCTCGGAAACCCAATGGGTCTCTATGAGTTGGGTCCGACTCGACGGCACATAACAACATAGGCTTGTGAGAGCTGGACAATGAATAAGAAAGACTGAAGAAGAATTGATGCTTTTGAGTTGTTGTGCTGGCAAAGAATGCTGAAAGTACCATGGACTGCTAAAAGAACTAACAAATCTGTCCTGGAAGAAGTACAGCTGGAATGCTCCTTGGAAGCAAGAATGGCCAGAATTCATCTCACCTACTTTAGTCATGTTGTAAGAAGGGACCATTCCCTGGAGAAGGATGTCATGCTCAGTAAAGTGAGGATCAATGAAAGAAAAGAAGGCCCTCAAGACGGATTGACACAGTGGTTACAACGATGGGCTCAGGTATAGCAAGGATTGTGAGACTGGCACAGGACCAGACAGTGTTTTGTTCTGCTGTACATGGGATTGCTATGAGTCGGAGATGACTCAACAGCACCTAAGAACAGATCCAGTCCTGGACAGAGTGAGGCAACAAGTGCACATCAAGAACTACTTCCTGTGATGTAAATTTTAGAGCAGTATACCAGCATAAACAAAATAATGTCTTGGTTAATTTAACTTCAAATATTACAGACATTTAAGGGTTTACTCACTCACTCACTCATTGCTGTCGAGTCGGATCTGACTCACAGCAACCCCTCTTTGGGTTTCTGAGGCAGTATTACTACAGAAGTAGATTGCCGAACCTTCCTTCCAGGGAGTGGCTGATGGGTTTGAACTGCCAGCCTTCTGGTTAGCAGTCAAATGCCTTAGGCAGTACACCATCAGAGTTCCCTAAGTGTTCACTCATACCTAGTAAATCAGAAAGTGTACATGAAAAGCCAAAACGTGAGTTACAAGAAGATGCTTAGCTTCCTTCTTCCAGGAGGTGGCACAATAGTACCAAAAAAAAAAAAAAAAGTAAACTAGGGAAGGGATTAAAAGGAAAGAGATACTAAAAATTTTCTTTCCTATAATGATTAAAAAAAGAAAGAGATCCTATCATACATTTTAGTAGTGTAAAAATGTTTACAAATCACTTATTACCTGCCAGAAATTTATATGTTAAAAAAAAAATCATACAACATAGATCTTTAATTTAGCTTTGCATTTTTTAGAAAATAAACCTCTAAATCCTAAGTAATTTTTGAGGATGCAGTATATAAAAAGACATCAATCACTTCTCGGATAGATAACCCATACTTATACTAAAAAAATTGTGTAAAGAAATACAACTCTTCATCAACTCAAAAGCAAATTTTATACTATAAAAATCTCTTAAGAAAGGTTACCTTTAAAAGAAATGAAAAGTTAAAGAACCGTACATTTTTCCAAAATGAGTTATTCAAAAATACAGTGCCACAAAAAAAATATTAACAATTATAGCCATATTCATTTTGTTTACTTCATAAAATTCTAGTTTAAGATGGGCACAAAAGTAGTAACAAGGACTTAGGTTATATGGAATCAGTTATCCCAAAGTTTCCACCCACACATGTGTGCTTATACAGAAGGGAGCAATGAAGCAATCAAAGTATTTTTTTAAAAAAACTCAATGATCCTTTCCTGAAATGACCCAAGAATCAAGGTTAAGTCAACCCAGTAAATGAAAGTAATCTTACTTTAAAGATACAGACACACAGAGACACACAATGAAATTCAAATAAAAATTGAGTATTTTCTTTTATTCTCATTAAGAAATTTCTTTATAAAAGCATGAACAATGTAATGTTTACTTCATTTTCCACAAAAACCTCTAATCCAATAAAATTCAATTTAAACACTAAATATAAATTAGTGCTTAGAATAAAGCACTAATGAAATTAATTTGTAAGAAAAATATAGAAAGCTCACCAATTAAGACTTGCTGTTGATTAGACAGAGATGAAAGGAGAAAGGTGTGCTTAACTTAAAAAAAAGATAGGTTATGAACCAAACTTACGTCCTGTTCATGAGCTAAATGCTTTGTCAAATTCATCTCTTTTACGTCTATCTTCCTAACAACGTCATATACTTTTCTGACCTTGAACACCTGGCTTCTTGGAGTTTTATTCCCGTTGTAGCCCATATCGATTCCATTACTGGGGGAGGATGGACCAATTCGAAAGACATGACAAAATATCCTCACAATCCTTAAAAGGCTCTTCATTTGAGCATCATAACTGCTAGACAGGCTGAAAATAAAAATATAAACAGGTTAGATGATGTAAAGAAATTAGATGTTCAAACATTTATTTTAAAACATCTGCATCCCACTGGCTACCTGTTTAATAATGTAACTGGAATAAAATTTCTCTCCTATCATGATAGGGGATAGAATGGTTTATTTAACAGGAAGTTAAACACACTATTGTTAGGGTTAGGGTTAATAAACACTATTGAGATTGCATATGAATGAAATATTAATTTTTAAGCAACTAAAAATAAAACAATGATCAAAGTATAAAATATAAAGAAAAGCACTCCTGCTGAACAGCTGGTTTCTTGAGGCACCAACTTCAAGGAAATCCTTCACTTTCATTTCAAGGAGCTCTGTGGTGCAGTGGTTAAGGCACTGAGCTGCAAACCACAAGGTTCAAACCCACCAGCTGCTCCATGGAAAAAAAGTAAGGCAATCTGCTTCTATGAAGATTTATAGCCTCGGGCAGTTCTACCCTCCCTTATAGGGTCACTATGAGTTAGAACTGACTTGATGGCACTAGGTTTGGGTTTCATTTTTGTTAGCATCACCCAGGAACGCCTTTAAAAGTGAATCATTACATTAATCTGACTTTTTACAGCTCATAGGACATTTTTCACAAAGAAACAATGGTATAAATGTTGATTATGTCCTTAAGATAACTCAAAACTAAACTTTTTTAACTAAAAATCCAAATCTCTGCTATTCCACCCATAACCCCTTATTTCCTCAGTACCCCCAGAATAGTAACCAACTGTTCACATATAGAACATTCACAGACCGAATAATCTTAAAGTTACTATCTGTATCAAAGTAAAAGTTTCTTTATCTGAAGTCTTATGATTCTACATAAATACATGTAAAAAAAATGAAAAAAAGATGACTCAAATTCAATTAATACTAAATCACATTGAAGATAAGCTTTGACAAATCAGCAGTTCCTCCAGAACTCCAAACTACCTTGTGACTATTCATCATCATGAATATCAATCACTATTCTGTAGACAAACTATAAGAGTTGGGCTACATTTGTGTTGAATCTCTTGATAAATCTTTTTAAAAATGTTTTTGTCATTCAGGGGATGGTGTTTTCTAGCATTACACCTGCTGTACAGTTTTCTTGTATCACAAGGTGTTTTCTTGTATTACACCTGCTGTACAGAAGCATAGTAAAGAGCTGCATAAACTTTAGGACTGTATGGCATTACTTTTGTGTAACTTTAATTATCAAAAGCTTATCCTATCTCACATAAGAGTTATTTTGCCAAGTTCATTAAAATCTTCCTCTATGTTATATTTAGGTATCCTTTAACATTAAAAAATAATATTAGGATTAGTAATACAAGAATAGCAAATGGCTACTTCTAAATATTCTAGTTTGACAACTACCAAATTATAGGGCATTTGCTATCCTAGTGACACGTGAACTGACATTTCATGACATTCATGTTGTTTCCTCATTTTAAGAATATTTTTTAAGTCAATAAAAACTGTCAGTTATCAGAGTTAGTAAAATATAATAGTTATTTCTGTCCATACTGTATTTGGAACAAATATAACACATTAACAAAACTTTTTTCTTTGCTTTACAAAAACTAGAAAAACCAAACCCACTGCAATGGAGCCAATCCCAACTCATAGTGAACCCCATTGGGTTTCCAAGACTGAAAATCTTTTTTTTTTTTTTTAATTTTATTGTGATTTGGGTGAAAGTTTACAGAGCAAATTCATCTTCCATATAATAGTTCACATACACTTTGTCTCATGATATGGACTGTCATCTCCCACAAGGCAACAGCTCTCCTCCCACTTCCTCCCCATAGCCACCTATTCCCTGTGTCCTTCCCTCCCATACACTCCTGCTCCCCACCCCCCCAGCTGTCTCCTTGTACATTCACAACCCTTCTCTTCTCCCATGATTGATCTCTTCAAGGAGTGTTTCTACCTAATGTAAATGTTCATCTCATATGCCTGTCTTTTGTTTGGCTGGAAGCCACAGGAGCAGGTTCAGTTCCAGACCTGAGGGACAACTAGGGACCATAGTCTCAGGGGTTTCTCCAGGCTCTATAAGACCAGCAAACCTAGTCCCCAAGGCTGTAAATCTTTATACAAACAGATTGCCTCATCTTCCTCCCACAGAGCGGCTGCTGGGTTTGAATTGCCAACTTTCTGGTTAACAGCCTAAGTGCCTTACACACTGTGACACCAGAATTCCTATAAAAGGATCCTTGGTGGTACTGTGGTTAAGTGCTTGGTTGCTAACCAAAAGGTCAGCAGTTCAAACCCACCAGTGCTCCATAGAAGAAAGACATGGCAGTCTGTTTCCATAAAGACTTATGGCCTTGGAAATGCTATGGGGAAGTTCTACTCTGTCCTACAGAGTCAGAATCACGGCAGTGGGTTTTGGTTTGGTTAGTAACTTCGAATGCACTATCTTCCTTCTGCAGAGCAGCTGGTGGGTTTGAACTGCCAACCATCCTGTTAGCAGTTAAATGCCTTAGGCATTATACCATCAGAGCTCCTTAAATACGTACAGAATCATTAATTTAGTTTTTATTGACTTTTGTAAATTTGTGTTTATGGACTATTTCTAATTTTATATAAGACTGCTGACACTAACAAAATATGAATATAGTTTGAATGGAATGATTTCCTTTGTATTGTGCTGTGGCTCTTGGGAAAGTTAACTACAATGACTAAAATTTTTCTATTAAAAAGGTGTGAATGTGATTTTCCTTTTTTAATAAATATCACACAAATACAAGTATTTGTTTTAAGTATTTGATCTAAGAGCACTTTGAATTATCTCATTAGAAGTTAAGAAATATTTTCTTAAACACTGGAATATGAATATCATCATCACACCTACTCCTCACCTGTCAACTATCTCATTATCCCACATTTTCCATTTACAAATTTAGTAAAAAACAAAACAAACAAACAAACAAAAAAAAACTATCCAACCACCATGGGCACTAACAACACACATCTGGCAGTAATGAACACGGAGGTAACAAGGCAAGAATAGCATTGGCTATGATGGTTAAGGTTATCTGTCAACTTGGCTGGGCCATGATCCTAAGTGGTCTAGCAGTTAGGTAATGACGTAATTTGGCAGTCATGTAGTGATGTAATCTGACAGTAATGCTGTGATGCCGTCACCCTCCATTTCTGCATAATGCTGATTTTTGCATAATAACCTGATCTTCAGAATATAACCATGTCAATAAGTAAGGAATGTGTGTATTAGTAAGGTCTAATAACTGTATACTACTTTACTCAGCTGAACCCTCTTCTAAGACAAGTCATTTGCCTATAATGTCATTTTTTCACTGTCTAACTAGCGAAATGTCTTTTCCCTTAAGCAAAAAGATCATAAATTCCAAACTTTACCATATCCTTCTCCAGTTCGTCATGAAATGATAATTTCTCCCAAAGCCACCATATGTCTCAATATAAAAGTTTAAAAATCAATTTCCTAATTCAAAGCCTTATCAATACAGTTACCTTTGGTTTATATAAGAGTATACTCTTTTCAGTGTCTTACTTAGCATTTATCTGAATTTTCTTCTCTCCTGCACGTCAGTAAAATTACCTTTACCTTCAATCATAAAGGCACAGAGAGCAAGATAACGTGTTCATTTCAATGGAAACAAAATATTACGAACATTGTTGTTGTTGTTGTTATGTGCCGTCGAGTCGGCCCCGACTCATAGCGACCCCTCCTTGGGTTTCCGAGGCAGTATCACTACGGAAGCAAGATTGCCCAACCTTCCTTCCGAGGAGTGGCTGGTGGTTTACGAACATTAGTAAATGCTTGTTATCTTTATAAAATACTCCCATGTACTGAACATCTCAACTGACACTAATTAACATTTACTTTAGTCAGTTATTTCCTTAATAGAAATTTCTATTAAAAAAAGGGGCCAAAAATACTTCACATCGTGGATTAAGAAACATGCAGTGATTTATAAATAAATGAATGAAACGAAGACGATCTGCAAAATTATCATTAAACATAAATTGACAGGGGGTAATGATTTGTATTTGAGACTCCCTTTAAGAATATACCTTACTGACATTACAACAAAATCTAACACAATATTAATAACCAATAAACCAAAAAAAAAAAAAAAACCCACTGCAGTCGTGTTGATTCTGACTCACAATCACCCTACAGGACAGAGAACTGTCTCCTAGGATTTCTAAGGATGTAAATTTTTAAGGAAGCAGACTGCAGCATCTTTTTCCCACAGAGCAGACTGTGGGGCAGTGAATTACTTGGTATGGCTTTCCTAGCTACAGTCTTTGTAATTCCCACCGGAACACTGGGTGGGACCATGCAAAAAAAGGTGTGTAGAACTCTGATTGGTTAGTTTTGTCACTCTGTCAGGTTTACAATGAGCCCTCCTAGAAGCAGAAATGGGGATCCCACTGCCCTCAAGAGAGAAGAGCTAGTGGTGGAGCAGTGTGCATCCTTGGACTCGAGATCCCTGCACTGGACTTCCTTGGCAGAGATGGGTGGCAGGGAGAGACACCCAGAAATAAGCACTGTGGCAGACAGACGTCCTGGCAGAGAAGCCCCAGCAGAGAGAGACGGTCTCAGTGGAACCAAGAGGCATGAGACAGAGCAGCGGGTTTACCTGGCCCATAGAGCGACAAAGCTGAGTGCTCCTGGGCAGGCGGCTTGCTGATGGAATGGGGTACACCTAGGTGTACCTACCAGCAGAGCTAAAAGAACTTTGTAACACTTGCCCAAGCAGGGCAGAGGCCAGGACTAGAGGCCAAGGGTCAGAGAGGCATGCCTGAGGGCATAGCAGAGGGGAGACTGTCCTGATTGAAGAATTGTATTCTGAACACATTCCTGAACCTGAATTGTAGCCTTTTATTTCCCTAATAAATCTCATAATCATGAGTATTTTCTGTAAGTTCTGTGTGGCTACTGCAACAAATTATCGAACCTAGCAGAGAGTGCTGGGGGAGGGATAGTTCGTGTCAGAATTGGTAAAAGGCTGGAGGGTGGCAGCATGTCTGGCCTCCTAGGAATAAGCCTTGGGCTGCCGATGGTAATTCTGGCTTCCTCTTGTGAAATTTCAGCTGGCAGCAGAGCACTTAACCAGTGCACCACCAAGGCTCCTCTAATAACCAATGCATTCTAACAGCCCCAACAAAGAAGTAACTGCAAATCAAAAATGGTCATAGTAATAACAGAGATCATAAAGCATCTGAAAGGTAGCAAGCATTGCTAGTGGTGAAGCAGTATGGCTTAGTACAGTAGTTTTAAAACTTGCTTTGGCCATGGATTCCTTTCTTCCTACCCTGTTTTACTAATCTCCTTTTCTATTTAAAGCACTACATTTAAACCCAGGATTTGTTCTTTGTTAGTGAGGTTCTGAACTCTGGTTTTTCAACTTACTGGGCTGGCAAATAATGCAATTTTAATTTTCTTATATGTAAAATGGAGATAACAATGATTAAATCACAGGGTTACTATGAAGAGTAATGAAATAATATATTTGAGTGTTCCTTAGTTTGTTATTACTGTTGTTAATGAACCCTGTGGGCATTTGAAATACTGGTGGTATAGCTTACAGCATCATAGTAACACACTAGCCACAAGAATATGACAATCTGACAGATGGGTAGTAGACCTGGCACATGTTGTTAGGTGCCATTGAGTCGGCTCTTACTCAGAGGGAGCCTACGTACAACAGAACAAAACACCGCCCAGCCCTGTGTTATGCACAAACAACCCTTGCTGTGCTTGATCCCATCATTGGAGCCATTGTGTTAATCCAATTCTTTGAGGGTCCTTCCTCTTCTTCATTGACTTTCTACTTTACCCCGCATGATATCCATCTCCAGGGACTGATTCCTTCTGACAGCATGACCAAAGTAGGTGAGATGAAGTCTGCCCATTCTCATTTCCAAGGAGCATCCCAGCTCCACTTCTTCCAGGACAACTTGTTCATTCTTCTGGCAGTCCCTAGCATTTTGAGTATTCTTCACCAACACTCAATTCAAAGGCATCAACTTTTCATTGTCCAGCTTTCACATATGTATGAGGTGACTGAAAATGCCATGGCTTGGATTAGGCACACCTTAGTCTTCAAAGTGACATCTTTGCTCTTTAATACTTTAAAGAGGTCTTTTGCAGGTTTGCCCAATTCAATACATCCTTTGATTTCTTGACTGCTCCCTCCACGGGCACTGATAGTGGATTGAAGTAAAATGAAATCTTTGACATCATCAATCTTTTCTCCATTTATTGTGATGTTTCTCACTGATCTTGCTGCAAGGATTTTT